GTCTTGCTGGAACCAACAGTCGCCCATGTCATGTTCATCCACCTCATTTGCCACAAAATCGCGTAACATGGCCCGATATCGCTCGCCATTGACTATTACCGTGGCGCCGTTATCGTCTTCGAAAAAGTACGGGCCGATGACCCTTTCAGCACAAACACCGCACCAAACAGTGACTTTGGGGGAATGCAACGGCTCTTTGAAGATCATTTGAGGATTTTCAATGCCCCAAAAGCGGGTATTTTGCGTATTAACAACGCCACACAGCGTGAAATGTGCTTCATCGGTTATGATCAAACAGCTCTAAAAATCAGGTTGACCGGCAAGGATGTCCTGCATATTGCGATCTTATTGGATGCGACGCGGCCTATCAGTTGGCAATAATTGTTGAGTGGTCTGCATTTTTTTAGGAAAGGTGCGCAAATCCACTCCTTAACAACCACCACATTGACATGGGGGACATGCCAAACTGCTGAGCACGGTGTCGGACCGAAACTTGTTGACGTTCCGCGACGTCGGCACTTACGGCTGCTATTGCTTCCATACTTCGTCTGGTACGCGGCTTATTTCGACGAACAGATGTTGCCAAAGATCCTGTGGCATTAAATTTTGCAACCAAAGCACGAATAGTCTTCGGGGTAGGCGCATTCTGGCCACGATACCTCGCTCTGAACGCGCGTTGAGTCAGCGTAACAAGAGTTTTTTTGAAAATAAATTTTTACAATTTCAGCACGTTGTTGTGGTGTAAGGTGGTTCATTGTTAAAATTGTACTGGACTGACGTTTCTAAAACATTAACAAACATGTCAATCTGTCACCTGGTTGTCAAGTTATTTGAACAAAACATCGGGTACCACTATAAGATACACCCATAGCCCTCAGAAGGTCTAGATACCGCATCGTAAAAACATTTTGACCCCCCATATGATGGGCGCCATGATAAATAAATGTCAATAAATTTTAAGTTGGCACTACTGACAAGACAAAATCGGCGCAAGTTTAGTAATAAGCGTAAGATCGACGTTCGACGTATATAATCGATTTTATTATCTGTTGTGTTGTTTATTTTGTTCTTCTAGTAAAGGTTTTATTTAAAACATTATTTTTTAGTTTAGTCGTTTAGTGTTTTATTTTAATAAAAAACATTTGTGGTTTGGTGTTAAATTTTTACAGGATTTTCAAAATCTCTTTTTGTTTTGTACGTGAATGTAACAATGCATCTAACGGTAGAAGATACAAGGAAGGAATAACATTTCATGTGTAAGTTTTCACAAATATTTGTGTATTTACAAAATCAAATAATTTGTATGTTTTGTTGTAGCATACCAAAAAATGTTAGGAAAGAATAACTGATAGCCATAGGAAGACCATTGAATCATTTTGTGACTTTAGTATAAGCCCAGAAAATTTGGGGATACTAGCTGAAACGGCAAATGTGTTATTGGCTCCTTGTTAGTGACCTATTGTACAATTTTTCCAACACAAGTTCCATGATCCTTTGAACTTGGCTGCACCGTACTGATGAAGACCAATAGTCAGAAAAACGTGTCGACCGTTACTTCTTTTTTACTTTTTTTTATTCGGAAAATGTCCACTATTACATATTATAGTTTGTATGTTTTATGCTTTCTTTTATTATATGTAATAAATAATAGGAAATATACTTTTATAGTAAATAAATTGATTAAAGCAATTTGTTTCATTTAATTCTTTCTTATTGAGTAAGTTATTTCATATAAATATGCGATACTGGTAAAATGTAATATTTTCTTTTAAATAGGTATATATTATGTTTGTATAAAATATTGTTCAGTTAATAAAAACAGAAATATTTTGTCTTTTATTCAAAAGAAGTTTTTTTTTCAAAATATATTTACCTAGCAGTATTTTTTGCATCTCAGATTATATTTATTAAAAAACCAAGGAATTGTTTTGGGCCTATTGCTGTGCCCTTTTCCAACATTCCCAAAGTTTTTTTTTACTTTCTGCTGATTGGATCTCCGATAGCGACAACTCCATTTGTTGTTCCACTAGTTTTTTATCAAATTTTTAAAATAGCTTCTATATATTTATCTTTTGCAATGACTTTGCTTACCTGCTTCATAATATCTTCCCTATGCCCCAATTTCTCTAACAGGTGAGATCTTATACTCGCTCTATTAAATCAAATTATCATTATAGTTTATTTGAAAATGCTTGGTAGCACAGTTTTTATGGCAAAGGTCCATATTTTTATATAATTTTGCTATTATTCATTTTAAAATAAACTATAGGAATAGGAGTAATCTATTAGTTTTTCTAAAAATACCTTGTTACCAATGTGAGTATATCTTTCCCTAGTTAAAAAATTCGAGTTTTTATTTTCATAATATAATATAAATAAATGACCGGTTAACAATCACATTCTTTTAAATAGTACATTTGACATTGAAGTAGGTATTTTCTCCATATTGCCAAACAGGAACAGATGGTTTACTTGTAATTTGAATTATATTACATAAATCTCACTGAATTTCTCTATAATTCTCATAGCAATATGTACACAAACCACTTATCCAATAATATATAACCATGTAAAAATAACATTTCAAGAACGAGAAATTTTATAAAACCGGTCCTGTCTGAACAGATCTAGGAAAATCAAATAGGTTTGTCAAAGTTTTGTTCTTAATTTGAAATTAGAAATTGTGCGTCTCACTCACTTATAACTAATAACAAAGTGCAGATTATCGGTGTTCACGTATTACAGAACACACAAACTAAAAATCAGTGTAGCCAAAACATAAATTTACCTAACATGGCGACAAGCTTGAATGGGGTCATTTTTTTTGTATTGACAGTATACGCCAAGCGGTATCTAGACTTTCTGAGGGCTATGGATACACCCCAATATGTCTGTATTCTTTGGAGCGACAAAAGTATTTTTCACAACAATGGCATGGTGAATAAGCAGTAAGCACACCAATGCCCATTATTGGTCAAACCAAAATTCGCGTTGGGTGCTACAAGTACATTTTGATACGGTTTGGGGAACTAACATTTGGTTTGGTCTATTTAATGTTCATTTAATTGGTCCTTTTACAAAAGAACCCTAAATGGACGAGCTTATTTTTTTTGCAAACTGAGCTGCCAGGTTTAGTTCAGATATTCCTTTAAGTGAAAGGCAAGTCCCAGTTTGGCAGCAAAATGGGGATCTACTTCACAGCGCACAAATTGTGACAAATGACCTATACATGCTCAATCCAAATAATTGATTGGAACAGAGGTCCTATTCTTTGGCTTGCGTGTTTACCAGACCTGAAGCCACGCTTGATTTTTCATTTGTCAAAAAACGTTTCTCTATATTTTTCGTTATTATGATATATAAAAGATGATTAAAAGGTAATCATTAAATTGCACATTTCAAGAAAAATCTATTTTTAATAGAATACCTTAAAATCCATTCTACAGTGTGTTAGGGGTAACACTCGCAAAATTTTGTGATTATTAAAGAAAAATTAAGCTAAATGTTTTTATAAGTTCACAAAATTTCTCAACAAGCAAAAATAATTGTTATTAATACTAGATTTTTTGAAACTGTAGCACCTCTATCTAATGAAGGTGTCCCAATATACAAGTAAAGCCCGAAAGGGAAGTTGAATGCTTCTCGCCGGGAAGTAATTGGATTGTATGTTACTTTGTCTGATTCTAATAAGAATGGGTTATTAGGGCAATAAGAAAAGGGTTATTAGGGTTAGGCGGAGTAACGTAAAATCCAATTATTTATCAGCGGGAAGTCTGTAACTTCCCGATCGAGCTTTACTTATATGTTCTATTTGGGATACCTACAGTCAACGTAGGTGCCAGAAGTTCACAACTAAACATAATCTTTAGTCTAATATTTTAACAAATTAAACTGTTTTGTTTATCGGTGTTGAAGAAACTAAAAAATAATTTAAATTTCACAAAGATATGTATTTTTTTTAAATTTCTACCGGTTTCACAAGTATATTACTTCATCTAGCATATCTAGTGGAGAAAGAGAATGTTATGTATCCAGGTTCAGATAAACAAAGCAAATTTTTAACCGGTTCTAAACCGTTCAAACACTAGTCGAGGCGGTGTATTCTACTCCTGTGAACTTTCTATTGGGAGAAATCTATCAAATAGCATTATAGTCAAAGTTCTTTGAAAAATTGCAAAAAATTCTAATGAATAACGATAAATAAGGAAGAAAGAAAATAGAATTGAAAAAGGTTGGAAAAGTTGAAAAACGCACCATATTTTCTACAATATTACGGTGAAAAAACACATAAATTTAAATACATTAAAAAGTATTATAATAAAACAGTAATAATTATTAATTTTATGTATGAAACTTAGCAAATTATTGAATATTTACAAATATACAAATAGTGGCGGACCACGTTCATTTGCTATCAAGATATATTTTATTTAACGAACAGTGCAAGTTCGCCAGTTGGTTAACTTACTATGTTGATGTTTATATGTTTAATTAGCCTGATTCTATCCTAGATATACATAGGATTATATTGTAACGGGTTAAAATGGTGAAATCTCTATTTTTAATTTATTTAAATAATTTAAATATAAATTGGACTAAAAATGGCGTTTCTTATCTGCTTCGATATTTGAGGATATCTATTTCGATTTTCTTATTATATTCTTCTATTATTAATAGGTGTCGATAGTTGTTCCGTTTCAGTAGAAAATAAACAGTAGCTATGTTTTTGCCAATTTAAAAAAAAAGGTTCTGTACTGGTCGTAAGTCGAAATAAATTAATTTGGTATTAGCAAGATACTTACTGTTGACAGTGAACACTGTGATATATTTTTTTTGTGATTTATTTATAAATCTTACATCATTAGTGGATAAAACTCATAAGTGTTCTCGTAATCAATTTTGTATGCATTTTGGCACGTTAGGTGCATTATTGTGGTGTTTTAAGATTGAAATCTTCTGTGGAAGGATTAAATTATCAACGCCCTCAATAAGAGGTAAACATGCCTAAATTATTTTGTAAATCAAATTTATTATTACGAGGTAATTTATTTATACTGTAGGGTCCAAGTATACGGTAAGAGTATACAATATAAGTACTTATACAATCCAAGTAACGACCCAATCAGGCATAGGGTCCCGTTAAAAGATCCAGTCTAATGTAGTAAACTGATACTAAATAGTAAACAGGTCTAAAAATTGACCCAATGAGCATGTAGTTTTAAATTGAATAATTTTAGGAACTGGTTTTATAATTTAATTGTAAATAAAAATATGAATTTTGAAAAAAAGATAAATATTTAGCAGTCAAAAATATTTAAGAATTTCTTGTCTATCCGTAAATAAAACTTTCTTGACTTTGACAGACGTTAAAAAACACGAGTTATAAAGCTACCTAGACGAAACAATATTTTCTTTGTATATGAACTATTTTCTGTAAAATTGTTAAGGAAAATTTAACGTATTTATATATTATTCATTTTTTGCTTTTCAGTTGACCTTCTGCAAATGTTGGAGTTTAATGTTACTGTAACGTTTCCGGCTGCTCCTTTATTGACAGTTATCCTGGCGCTTGTTGGTAAGTACAATTTTTAACAAAACATACAGAATACAGATATTTAGCATAAATTAAAAAACAATATTTACCGATAAAGTGTAAAATCGGATATTATCAACTTTCTTTCTATGTCAATGATAATCAACTTCTATAAGGATTAATTTTTAACTGGTTATATTAAAAGTACGAATGTCGTTTTTAAAACTATGTTTAACAATAACCGATGATTTTAAAACGAGGTTTACAGTTTAAACTAAGTTTACATTTTAATTGCCTGTCATACAACTAGCCCTTAAAGGATTATTTTTACTATTTATTATAAACAAAATTATCTTTTCCATAAATTTATAGCTACTCCAAGGATAACAGGTCGTTAAAGTGCCGCATAATGTAATTCAAACTAGAGGGGATTTTGGAGCGGACTAATAATAATCATTAAACCAAGTTCAACTAACAAAGCTGTTCAGTGAGCTTTTCTCAGAATTCGTTTTGTTTTCGAGTAAAACTTAGCCAAATTAAAATTAAACAGAAGTAATGATCAGTTATTAATCTGTGGCGGTTGACTTAGTTCGGTGTAGTCATTAATTTTGTGCGGGACAGAGCCACTTGTACATTCAAGTCATTGTCTTTTCTTGTAATTTTCCGGGACTACACTGAATAAGCAAACAATTTATCTAAATCAAGAATAATTATCGTTCACAAATATTGACCGAATGAAAAACTACCAGTTGACTTTTTTGTTTCATAGTTATTTATTATTTGGGCGCTTAATTATTTTAAAAAGCATTTTCGAATAAACTTTTACTTTAGTCATTCAATAACAGAGAGTTAAGGCGTGATATTGAAATTCGTTGCATTAAATTAAAATAAATAATGAAATTTTTTTTTTCAAGATCTTTTTTTTGGACTTTTAACATATTCAAGAATATTTAATATATTATGTAATTAATATAATTTTCCTACAATCTAATGTAAATGTGGAACAGCCAAATGGAATAAATTCGGTAATAAATAAATGGGGGCGTGTTCTGAAAAACGCTCGGACACGTTGATTGGTATTTTTAGTTTCGCAAAAACTTTTTTATACAGGGTGTGTTAGGTAACAGTGACCAATACCAACTTTCTTATATATTTTTGGATTCATCAGAAAATTGTAGACATATTTTAAGGCGAGCGTAATTTCGGACGGTAATCCCCTCGCCTACCTGTCCAAAGCTAGTGATGCCGCGAGACAAGACGAGACGAGAGAGTGGCATCTCTCGTCTCGTAGGGCGAGAGAAAACTGTTCTCTCGTCTCGACGTGAAGACGCTTCTCTCTCTCTCTCTCTATCTCTCTCTCTCTCTCTCTCTCTCTTGAGAGAGCCTTTCTCGTCTTGTCTCGTCTCGTTTCTCTCGTGAAAATAATATCAAATTTGAATTTGAAAAAGACGAAACATGAAAAAACGGTAAAATTAGTAATACAAAAATAATGAGTTTTTCAAGTAATTTGCGCATTAGTACCCAAATTTGTCAATAAAAAATACTTATGTCTTTCTGTCTACCCGTCTGTCACAGTCGTTTTACAATTGAAATTTGAAGTAGTAAGTGGCCCAGATTAGGCGTTAACTAAAAACGAAAATACTTTGTCTTGTAAGTCAGTTGGGGAGGGGGGAAGAGGTTAAATTGGAAGATAGAATTTTTCTAATGCAATCCTGCTATGTCAAATGAAAGCATTTTGTAGTATGTTTTCAAAATGCAAGAAGATAGAGACAAAACAAAAACGATATGAAATTAGAGAAACATTATGATATTTTTGTTATAATGAGATGCTTTTTACTTGATACGTACAATAGAGGGCGTTACTATCTTTAAATTTTCTAATGGAAAGTAAAGTCATGTAATACCTCATTTGAAAGATATTTTGATTAGTATTACGTCCAAGCAAACAGTTTTAATTTTCCTCGTGTGCCGCAATAATCCTAGAAATGTTAGATAATGTTAGATGAAAAAATTTTAATAAGCTTGTTTTTGCCAAGAAGTTATGAAAAATTCAATACGTCAAGTGGTTTTTTTAAATCACCTTTGATATTCTTAATTGATTTATTTTAGTAAATAAAAGAAGCGTTTCCTTAGTAATAAAAAATAATTGTTAATACGAGAGTTATCAAGAATGTAACTTATTAGTAAAGGCCCAGAACATGTCTGTATAAGAACAAAGTACCAGCTACAAAAAATTGCCATATGTGCAGTGTTAAATCCCTCTAACAGTAAAAATATTACTTAAATTTATAAAAGATACTGACATTTACTCTGTACTAGACAAAATGTTAATCATCCATTGTTTACTATTGTAAAAAATACGTGTGGCACTCGGGGACTGCCGCGGTAAAGCTATTGCATAGCATTTTTTATCAACTTATGCAATTATAATTATTTATTTATTTTATTTATGCAGAATTTTTTTTTTCTTTGATATTAATTCAAGTTACACTTTTTAAGCGTGGTGACCGATAAGAAAACAAATTTTTTTCTTTTATTGTATAAATGAGAAGTTAATATTGTTTAAAATATTTTTATTATCTTACAATACATGTAGGTTATTCAGGAATTTTTATCATTCAAACTATAGGTTTATGGTAACTGAAATAAGAAACATAAGTTTGAGACTTGATATCTTCTAAATATCTGGAAAATACCGCGTCAATGGTGGTCCTATATTTTGTTGTGGATTCTTGTGGATCATTATTCATTTACAAATTAAAATTTTCCGAAATTGTGTCTAAAAGAGATAGAATCAGTTATGAGCAGTTAGCAGCTAGTCTACACGCATACGTCTAGTCGCACGCACACAAACACCGTGCCGAAGTCTGACGAATTGAAACGACGTTAGACGATGCACGGCTTTCAACGCCGCACCGCTGTGCCGGTCGGAGTGGGCGGTGTTAGGTTTATTTTCGTTACGGAATTTCTTTTTCGATTTTTCGACTTTTCAACTTTTCGACTTTTCGATTTTTCGATTTTTCAAGGGTGTTAGGTTTATTTTCGTTACGGAATTTCTTGATTCGGTCGCCGCGCTCAAAACCCGCGATAAAATCTATGCAATAGCTTAAAACAGCATTTATAAGGTATTATACCTCCGGTAATGATCCTTTGAGGTTGAAGCGGTAAATAAAAAAAATAATTTAATCTAATTTGGAAACTTTTTTGTCTCAGTATTTGTCTGTAAAAAGTTTAGTTTAGATGATACAGCCATTTAAAATGACAACTTAAAAATATTCAATGGAAATTCTACGTATGAAAAATATCAAAATCAAGTTTATTTTTAAATTACAAACTAATGTCATTAAAATAAAAAAAATTAATTTAACATGTGTTCAAAATTACATTCTCCTTCTGTATACACTTACTACATAGTTTTAACAATGAAAATCGAATTTTGATATTTTTGCACTTGTATAATTTACATTGAATATTTTTAAGATATCATTTTGGCTGTATCGTCTAAACCAAACATTTTACAAACAAATACTAAGAGACAAAAAAGTTTTCAAATAGATGTTGCATTTCAGTAGCGTTCGATTTTTAATAAAACTTTATATTACAAAAAAGTTGAGTAGAGAAAAAATAAAAAAAAAATATATTGCCTCTACCTCGATTTTGTTAGTCATGGTATTCCAACACGTCATATAAAATGTCATGAAAAAATGTCAAACGGTTTAAGAGCAACGTAAAAAAAAATTCATTTAAATTTTTATCTTATACATTATGTAACTATTTTTGGATGCACTTTTGTATATAGCTAAGTACGGTTTAATCGACTTATTTTTGACCCAAGAATACGTGGTATAATTTATGACCAATCTTTTTGAAACACCCTGTAGAATAGGTGTGTAAGTTACGATAAGCAATTGTAAATTTCAAATAAGCAAAGAGAAAATTATTCGAGAGAGCTCGAGAGAAACGAGAAATTCTCGTCGAGAGATGACACTCTCTCGTCTCGTCTCGAATCTGTTTTCGAGAGAAAATATCTCTCGAAATTTTGATCTAAGCATATTTTAAGTAGATTGGTGAATTCAATTAGTTCTAAATCTGATAAAGTAGAATTTGACAAAAAAGAATTAATCAAAGACAAGACTTCTGGAATAGGGATGTTAGTAAAAAGGTTCGACACATCTAATGAAATTAGCATATCGGTCTCGTTGATATGAGTATCCTTGATATTATCTATTAACACTAGGCTATTTTTTACTGTGTGTGTAAAATGATCTTTATAATAACCTTTGAGTGAATCATTAAGCCATTTAGCTGTGAGGTAAGTTGGTGAATTCACGAATGATACTACTGGACGTATGGGCATACCTTCAGAATTATAAACACTTCATGTTGTCTAAGAACCCATTTTAGTTCTTGTAGGCTTTAAAAAAGTTTTAAATTTGTTTTGTCTTAATGTCTGTCCGTCCGTGAAATATTTTAATAATTTTAATTAATAGTTTTAGACCTACTTGTGTTTTGACATCAACTTTTTGTTGCAACTACTGTTTTTATGCATTTCTTAAAAAATACTCGCATATAGTATTTTTAATACAAATCCCGATGCACGTCAGCAATGACGTCGGTCATTCGTCATAGTACTACCAACTAATTAAAATGTCCCTAACTAAGCTAATAATCCGAAAAAGTCACGTATAGTCACGAGCATTCATGAACGTAGTCAAATTACTAAAAAGTCAAAAACTGTTATGGTGATTATTTTGATAATTTTAAGAATTTAGTTTATACATATCTAATTCTTGATAATATAAAATTTATAAAAACATTATTAAATGTTTAGTACTCAAAAAATAATACTTTACATTAAATAATTTTGACATTCTGTACGCCCATGAAGCTCGTATTTATAGAGAAAAAATGTCATTACAGCAATTGGTACACCTTGTTGCGGTGTTGCAACCCCTTTTTAAAAAATTTCACTGATTTAGTTAGGTTATGTTTATGTTGAGTTAATTATTGATTGTGCATTTTGTTTTCTGTAATTTAAAATC